GTGCTTAGGGCTCTTTAGCTTGGAGAAATGACGACTGAGGGGTGACATGATTGAGGTTCATAAGATTATGCATGGGATAGAGCAGGTAGAGAAAGAGGTACTTTTCTCCCTTTCTCACAATACAAGAACTCGTGGGCACTCCATGAAATTGCTGAGTGGTCGGGTTAGTATGGATAAAAGGAAGTACTTCTTCACCCAAAGAGTGATTAACACATGGAATTCACTGCCACGGCTACAAGCATGGATGGCTTCAAGAGGGAATTAGATAAGCATATGGAGCAGAGGTCCATCAGTGGCTATTAGCTACAAGGTATAGATAGGGACTCTGGGGCAAGTGATGCTCTGTCTTCTTGGTGCTTGGGGGGGGGTGGTCAACAGTGGGAGGGCTTCTAATGTCCTGGCCCCACTGGTGGACCTCCTGATGGCACCTAGTATTTTTGGCCACTGTGTGAGAGTGTTGGACTGGATTGGCCTTTGGCGTCTCTTATGTTCTTATGTTGTGGTCACTGAGTCAGCCCTTATAACGAGAGGTGAAATCTTAAATTGATTGAGCAACTGAATTTAAATGCACTGGAATAATCTGCTAAAACCTAATTTCAAAAGGACCCTGCCACAATCACACTTGGCATTTGTATAGTGTGCTACAGCATTCCAAGTACTTCTCACATACATTGTCTCACTGCCCCTTTCAACCGCACTGTGAGTCAGCATTATTATTAAAATATTCTTGATCGAGGCAGGGGATACAGATGGCTTGCCTCTTTAAGTTGCTTTCCTCAAACGGTTCAATACTGTTTGACTAACTTGCATCAGCAAGGTGTAACTTAACACAACTGCCTGTATATTATGGGCCTGGAACTAAAATGGCTTCCAAAGCTCCCCTTAATATTCTGTGGTCTAGCCCTAAGCAATCCAGCCATTTGAACAGCTGTACCAGAGGACAGTTGGAAGGGCTGCAACATCTGGTCTGAGGGGCTCTACTGCGACATCAGAAGAGATCAGCCAATGGCAACAGAGGCAGGGCAGGCAGGCAAGGCAGAAAGGGACTGCCAGATTTACAAAGTTGTAGGATGAAGAAATTCAGCTGCATTCATAGACTATGCCTTGTGATTATGTTAGGCTTTGCATACTTACGTAGACGCCCAGCCCATCAACGGGTTTTCCCAGCGCTCCCTCGTGTCAAATTCCATCTTCCATTTTTTGGTGTTGTTGGCACCTGCTTGCATGGCATTACGGGCCGGAACAAAAATGTGAACTCTTCTGGTTTTAATATGCTCCTCTGGTACACCAGTCAAAGGTGTAATGTCCTATTTAAAGAGGAAAAAAAGACTGGTTTCAGACCATATATGCAAACTCACTCACTGCAAGTTGTCTCAGTGTGGTGTAGTGGTTAAGAGCGGTGGCCTCTAATCTGGAGAACTGGGTTTGGTTCCCACCTCCTCCACATGCAGCCAGCTGGGTGACCTCAGGCCAGTCACAGTTCTCTTAGAGCTGTTCTCTCAAGAGCAGTTCTCTCAGAGCTCTCGCAACCCTACCTACCTCACCAGCTGATTGCCATGGGGAGAGGAAGGGAAGGCGACTGTATGCCACCTCAGACTCCTTGGGGTAGAGAAAAACGGGGTATAAAAACCTACTCTTCTTCTTCTTCCTCATTGAAATGGAGCATATAACCTGGAAGAAATGTCTGGTATTGCCACAACTCTTAGAATCCTCAAAATGATCTACTTGTTAGTTTGCAGGACCGCACACCAATGAGGCTCTCTGTAGACCTGTCTGCATCCCAACCCTCATTTCAAAAAATAATTACAGCAGACAAGGGGTTGCAGGGATGGGTCGGAAAGCAGTCCTCTGCACTGTGCTGGTTCTTGTAGACATTTCTCCTGCAGCCATCACTGCTAAGTACGCAGTTTTTTCAAACACACACACACAAGCCCACCATTTTGGACTGAGTACAATGACCTCAGAGCTACTAATTTGGAGCATGTGATAGATTTTACCCAAACATGATCTAACATTTAATTATCCACAGCAAAGCCTTGGGTTCATGGGCTGTTGGAACTTCAGTCCTGAGATTTCTGAAGAATCTTATAAAGGAAAGCCTCATAAGCAAACCCATTTACAAATTTCAAAACAATCTAGCAGGAATCTAAAGACTTCTGCATCTACACTCAAGGACTTCCCTGGATGTACCAAAGCTAGAGCTCTTCAGACCCGCAGATCCATGTGTAGCATTAGGAGGCTTGCAATAATCGGTTCCCTGGAGTGCTTTTCTACTCTAAAAGGTGGCTGCTGTAGCAGTGGGAACCCTTCAATGTCCTGGTTCATACTGTTAGAAGCTTCCTCATCGGGCCCTTTGAATCCCGTCCACACCACAGCTGGAAAAGGATGGCCAATTTTTAAAAATACCATCTTCCAATGATGCTGTAAATCACTGCATGAAAGACTACCACCACCGCAGCTATTTTTATGAGTCAGGCTTCAAGTAACTCAGCTCAAGAAACTAAGTCAGGTTATTATTATTCATGTTTAAACCGAGAAACAAAACAAAGAACTGAAAAGCCAATATTCTCATGAAATACTGCAGGCAATTAAATGTTTTCCGTGTGAATTCTGTGCAGGCCAATGGGCAAGGAAGTTACTGGGCTGGGGCGATGGGGGTGGAAAAGCAAACAGAACTTTTAACTGTGGGTTGCAGTTGTAAGGTTAAGTCTAACAAATGGGAAGGCTTTGTTTTGTACCTGTTCTACCTGTTCCCCATTCAGTCTTCTTTCTTACCTGTCCAGTCTCTGATTTTATGTATAAACTTTCTAGATAAAGAATGGACTCGTCCCACCACAAGCCATTGGGACTTGACGGCTACAAAAGGAAAGGATTTCTGGAAAACCTCCCAGCAATTCGGTACAATTTTTCCTGCTGCCCTAGTCCTCCAGCGTCTGCTGATGAAAGGGCAGATCACAAGCCACATCATTTTTCAGAAGCTACCGCAAAAAAAACCTTGCAAAAGCAATGCAGAACTGCCACCGACTTAGATTCTTAATACATTCGGTGCCAATGGGAGAGGTTTGGACTCCCTTCCTTTGCCTCTCTCCAGGAACAAAAGCTGATCTGGGGCAGGCCCAACTACAGGCAGACACAACTAATCCAAACCAGTGATGACATGACTTAAACCGGAGGAGGCAAGCGAGCTTAAATAGCACACTGAGTTTTTAAAAATAAGCCTCAAGCTACCAACTTTAGCCTCTCTTCTGTCGCAGAGTTTAAAAGCTCTTCAGATTCTCACCAGACAATCGGGATGGGGGGCAGAAGAGACATTTCTTCATGCCCCCCCATTTTTTTTTTGTTTCACTTTATAAAATAAACTTGGAGGGATTATTCACAACTGCCAAGTGTGAACTGTTTGTCTTGTATTTAGAACTGAAAGGGGGGGGGGACCCACAGGAAATTACAACACGCAAAAGCTGAGCTCAGACTACCTAAAGCAAACTGTCAAAATATTTTAACAATTTAATCATAAATGTTTTCTTTGAGCCCAAGTAGTGTTTATTTTGAATACTGGTCTAGTCAAAATATGAAGACACACCAATTATTACTCAGAAATGTTGCAACACATAACACTACACGCTCTCTCTCTCTCTCTGACAGACTGGCATTCGATTGCTAAAAAAGAAAATACTGGAGAGGTTGTTTGGGCAACCAATTGTACTTCTCACAATGCTTTTCACCTGCAGTAAGAAGAAGGAGAGGCTTGATTGTCCTGGCTTGTCTGTTTATAGAAACTAAATGGCAATATATCCGCTTTCACACAAACATAGCCTTGGGGTTCGGGCATGTAAAGCAGAGAAATCTTAACATTTCACTGACAGCCCACCCCCACCCCCGTTCTCCCAAGGTGTGTCTCAGAGATATACTATCCAACATCCCAAAAAATAAACCAAGGCGGAAAACAAGGAAGGAACTATTACAGGAAAATAAATATGCAGAACTCTTGACAGATTTAGGTGAACTCTCCATGATGTCTGGATTGTATGATTGGAATATACGTGGTGTAAACAAAGTTGTGTGCATTGCTCCTGTTGCTTTAGTTCCTGGATTTTAAACACCTTTTCCTAATTGTATTCGTTTTGCTTTCTCTTCCCAAGATTTCTTTCCATGTATTGGCAGAGCAATGCTCTGGTTCTGCTATGCCAGATGGCTGCTGCATCAGCATGAGGCAATTAGGATCTCCCAGGCTCATGGCAGCACTCAACAGGGCAATATAAGCACAGGGATAAAGGTCACCATGCCAATAGTCCCACAGATTCAGGGGAAACCCCACTACCGTTTGTCAATCACTGTGTTGCTTGGCAACAACACCTCCACAAGAGACATGTAGAAAGGCACCAATCAGTGCGCGGTGAAGGCCAAATGACCCCTTAGGTGTGCTCCCCAACCCACTGTACAAGCTAGGAGCCAGAAAGAGGACACAATGCCTTCTTCTACTCAGGCCACCACACTGTCAGTAGAAGGTCCGTGCGGTGAACCCGTATGCTTGCCAGAAGTACAACCTACTGCAGGAACAATGTCTCCTTGCAAACTGTTTCCATCATGCAGCACGGCACACACCTACATTGCTCTCTTAGTGAGATGCACCAGCATTATGGGGAGGAGCCCAAAAACAGCGATGGCTTTCCTGCATTCTCTTCTGGTGGCCCCATCAGTGATAGCCAGAGGGAAAAGACCTACATGTGGAACCAGTGTTTTCCACATGTCAAAAAAGGGAAGATTGTTAGCCAGGAGATAGCCTAATACCTTGGCCTGGATAGCCCAGGCTACTCTGATTTTGTCAGATCTCAGAAGTTAAGCTGGGTTGACTCTGGTTAGTATTTGGATGGAAAACTACCAAGGAAGTCCAGGGTCTCAACACAAAGGCAGGCAAAGGCAAACTAGCTCTAAATGTCTCTTGCCTTGAAAACCCTTATGGGGTCGCCATAAGTGGGCCTGTGACTGGGCGAGACTTTCCACCACCACATACCCTAATGTATGTGTGTGTGGGAAGAACAGACATGCTCTGTGGCCCTAAGAGTATACTTGGGAAAAAAAAATCTCTTATATCACTCTGTATTTTTCTGCTCTGTATCGGAAATTGCTATCTTAATGCTTCCTTAACAATGAAGAAGAAGAAGAAGAGATTGGATTTATACCCCGCCCTTCACTTGGAGTCTCAGAGCAGGTGCAAGTGGAGGGGTGGGGAATCAAACCCAGTTCTCCCAGATTAGAGTCCGCACACTTAACCACTACACCAATGGAGGCCCAAGTAGCAGCCACTGCCAGATCAGCTTTTTACCATCTTCAGCTGGTTAGGCAGTTGGCTCCCTTCCTCAAATGTAACAACTTGGCAACAGTGATCCATGCAATGGTCACCTCAAGACTAAACTACTGTAACGCTATCTACATGGGGCTGCCCTTGTCTCAAATCCGGAAGCTGCAGTCAGTGCAGAATGTGGCAGCCAGGCTGTTGATGGGTATCCCCATGCGGGAGCACATCCAGCTGGTATTGAAAGCACTACACTGGCTGCTAATAGCATACCAGATTTATTTCAAGGTGCTGGTTTTAACCTATATGGTCAGGGCCCGGCATACCTGAGGGAATGCCTTTCCCCACACATTCCCCAGAGAGCACTGCATTCAGGGGCACAAAATCGGCTAGCCCTCCCTTCTTGGTGGTGGCTTTATCCTGGTGGAATAAGATCCCGGTGGAGATCAGGGCCCTGCGGGACCTCTTACAGTTCCACAGAGCCTGCAAGACGGAGCTTTTCCACCAGGCATTCTACTAAGGAGCCACAGTACACACCAGGGAATGTCCCTGAGCCCTGGCTTTCCAGCCTGTAACCTGGGTCCTACCATCAAGGTTCCTAGTCTGTGCTCACCACATAATAAATGAGAACTGTTAATAACATCCCACAGGCACCTAAACTATGTTATAAGAACTGCTCTACTTGTTGTTTGAGTACATTCCAGCATTTTATGTATCTATGTTTTAAATGATTGTTATTCTAAGTAATTTATAATCTTATGATAGGTTTTATTGTATTTTACTGTATTTAATTGCATTCTTGAACTGTTGTAAGCCACCCTGAGCCCGCCTCGGCAAGGAGGGCAGGATAATAATAATAATTATTATTATTATTCAGCCTGCCCTTTCTCTTACAGAGTCTACAATGGACACAAATGATTAGCTGCATGTTCTCGAAACACATACATCTGCCAAACCAATCACTACTTTCCTAATTTGCTCCTCTGAACAAGGACTCCTCCTATTGTTGATTCT